AATCAGAAAATTCAAATAAATAGCTGTCAATTGAACAAAAATGGATTTAAAATTCAATCATGGGGAAAGTGTATATAAAAAAAAGCCATTCAAATTTAGATAAAATAGTTTATCCCTATTTATGCTCTTAACTGTTCGGTTTTACCACTTTAAGTTTTTATAATAAAGCTATACTCCAGGACGAGTTACTTCCAGCTGCTGTGTGAGCCTTCATTTGATGTCCACAAACAGATAACCCGCTCTGTGCTTCCACCAAGGTTTTCTCTGTCCATCCCACTTTTGTCTCTCTCACTTCACTTTATCTCTACGTCTCTGCTGACTGAACTAAACCTTGTTTCCATGGAGACATCGCGGTTATACAGAAGTAAAGGCTGAAGGAGAGGAAGAGCAACAGACGGTAGAAGGACATAGTGAAAGAAACTATAGCGTAAGGAGAAATAGGGATGACTCATATTGGCTACTGTCAGTCGTATGTGTTTATAGTTGATGCAGTCTTCATTTTAAGTCCAGTTAACTTCACGTAGTGGGTGAAATGTAAAATAGCCAAATGCATGATGTGAGTGAGAATTATTTTCTTATTCAGTTCATCAAGTTCACAGTATGCATTTTTCAGACTTACTGACAAACACTGGAGATGAAACAGCCATTCATTGTGAACTGAGCCTCAGATCACATGCTGTTGTCATCCACCATCACTCAGTTGTTTTCTGTTTAGTCCCTAACGCATCCATTGGTACCAACCATGTCCTGCTAGAATGTCGGGAAGGGGGCTATGAGTGAACGAGCAGGAAGGTAGATAGGCCCTCCAATCATTTCATCTCCAATGAAATTATTGGATTGGCTTATTACAGACTGAAACAGCAAATGAGACCATATTTAATTTATTGATTTCTGATGGAATGAAAAGTAAATTTCAACAAATATAATAAAAATGTTTCTGAAACACATAACCAACCCTAGCTAGCATATTTGGAAATAGAAAAATGGTGCATGGGAGTATATTTCTCAGGAAATAAACAACTTTGTTGTCTCTCAGTAATATGGC